GAACACAGAGAATTCAGGAATAGTTTTTCCCCTCATAGAGACCAAAAAAATAATTTTTTCCGAAAGGAGACAAAATTTAATTTTAAATTCTTTGTAAAATACAGTTTGGGACACCTCCAACACCTTCAGAGTAAGCTTTTTCTCTCTAAATGAGATCTCCTGCTTAGGTAATGAAACTGTAACCATCCATCCTACCACCAGTCTTAAATACTATCACTTGTTTTGGGGGGGCTTTGGGGAGTTCTTTTAATGTAGTGAACTGGGGGAAGCCTGCTTCAAGTACTTAGATTCCCAGGAGGAAAGAGAATAATATTTGTCATTAAAGTTGCATTCCTCATCAGAAGAGCCCACTCACCTTTCATGTATTTAGCATATGCTTTAGGTAAAGTAAGCATGCAGTTGGACAAAGAGCAATTTTTTAAAGTATTTAACAGAAAAAAAAATCTAATCATTAGAATAAGGCAATTATTGAAGTATAATATATATGTTTAAGGTAGCTGGCTTCCATTCAGGTGAGTTAAGACAGTCTTTGGAGTAAGAAGTGCTTTAACATCTTGAAGATTTATCTTTACCTGGATGATAGAGCATTATTGTACAGATTATCTTCTTCCTGGAGGCCAGTGATATTTAAGATAATCCGAGGGTTTCGTTTTCTAATTCTCCAGAGAAAGACCTGAACAGTCAGAGTAGCAATAGGCCAAAAAATGTAGTAGCAAACTACACAGGTTACCAGTGGTGTATAGGGGTATGCTGGAACCAGTTTGAACCCAAACTGATTGTTAAATTTCCATAATAAACATTTACACCTTGGAAATCAGCAAATATTACAAATTAGAGCTTCATTTATTGTGGATTTTCTAGACTTAAAAAGGTGATGGAGAAAATGTTAATACTGTACATACACTTCAAAGTATGTCCTATGTACATCCTACACACACATTGCCCCAACACCCCATAACATAACATTGAACTGATCCCTTCCCTATTCCTAGAAGCCAAAACCAAAGACTTTTAGATTACACAGAGGCCTCATACCTTTGTAAACTGGATGTGGTATTCACTGTATGGAAATTACCCTTGAATCAGATGTCTGTATAGAGTCAGATCATCAACTCATCAGAATTAAAATCAGAATTAGTTAACAACAATAATAATGATGATGAGAAATGCATGGTGTACAATTGAACCATATTTTTCCTAAACAAGTAGTTGACAATCTAAAATGGGAAATGGACAAGAGAAACTATATCAACCCTGAGTAAAATAATTTTATCTACCTAGATGCTCAACCAGTGTCAATTCGTTAGACACAACAAGGATGTGAAAAGAGCTGAGGAAGCTCCTTAACTAACAGACATGTGATAAATTATACAAGGAAATGACCATCGAAGACCACACTGACTTAGAATATAAACTCATTTATAAATTCTTTTGAGGAAGGCTAACAGATAATTATGAGCCTTGTCATCTCCTGAACCAGAAGAGTGTAAAAACAGTTTAAAGAAAGCTTGGCAAGGGGCAGCTAGGTGACACAGCGGATAGAGCAATGACCCTCGAGTCAAAAGGACCTGAGTTCAAATCTGGCCTCAGACACGAAACACTTAACTAGTTGTGTGACTCGAGGCGAGTCATTTAACCTCAATTGCCTCACACACACATACAAAAAAAAAAAAACAAAAAAACCTTGGCAAAAGATCCAACTATGAAAAGTCATCCCAAGGATATTTAAATAAGAAAAGAGTACAACTTGCAAAAATTATTATAACAAACTTTGTCTTTCTGGTATGGTTGGTCAGACTAAACTCTTTTGCGTGGTCATAGATCCGTTTCAGGACACTTGGAAATGTTTTAAGGCAATCAGCACAATGTCATCCACAGAAATACCTAGAGAATCTCTCAACAACTTGGACTCTGTGCTCATCACCATCATCCTAGAATGCCTCTCCCTTTTTATGCCTCACCTAACATTTATGATAAGAAGGTCATTGAAAAGGATTGTATAATTTGTGTTGTGATATCTTCTAAGGAAGCGAGTATTTGTCCATATATAGGTACATGTATACATATATATATATATATATACGTTGTCCATATACAAGTTATGTGTACATGCATACCTATATATGGACAAATTCAAATTTCCCCAAGGTACTCTAGCCTGCTTTTTTTTCCTGTTTAAATCATGGCCTGACATGGCTTAAATTGTCTGTCTCAGATAGAGATAGAGATGGATTTATATACTGTAAGGCTCTGAGTCAAACAGGAGGAAAAGAGCATGCTGGGACGCCTTTGAGAAATTACAGAGCTCCTTTAGTGACCACAAGCTTCCCAAGAAAGCAAAGGTCCATTTTTTAATACCAACATTTTGCAATTGTTGCTATATGGCAATAAGTCATAGAATCCAGC